GAAAAAGTAGGTGTCTATTTACTTGTGACCACTCAGTGTATATGATATCTAGTTGTTGCTCTTGGAAAGTTACATGGACGAATAATATATGATAATCTTAAAAAGTGATAATAAAATGCCCACCCCTAATAGCCAGCGATTAGTCTAAAAGTTTATTGCTTGTTTGTTTGTTTTGAAGTTTTGAAGCTACGCAATGGGCTATCTGTGCTCTGCCGCTGTGCCACTTGGGGGCCTAAAGGCTTATAACGCTAAAAACTGGTTTTCGATATTTGCAATGGGCAAAGCATACATATCCCATTAGGTTGTTTCGCGCTTAACAACAAACACAAAAATCTAAAAACCAAATAAAACAAAGAGTGGACTTTTATATAAGTATTCCACAATAAAAATTTGAACTTTTCAATTCTCATGTTTAAAAGGAAACTTATAAAATATTTAGTTGAGAAAACTTGATATCGAAAACAATTCTAAACACGAAAAAGCAAGAGATTTATTGTTGTTTTATGACTCTCTGATTAATAGATTTCTCTAGGATTCCTTACGATACATATTAATAAATATTTAAAAGCCAAGCAAGTTTATATGTTATTTTCTGATAATAATGACAACAGCATAGTAGCTACTATTTTAGTCAGTTGATAAAACTTTATCATGGCTAATAGTGACAGTCTGGAAATGTACTTGTCTCGAAACTTAGTTCAGGTACTGGCATCTTAGGGTTGAAATTGTCACAAAAATTATCAACCAGTTTCATTTTTGTAATAGATAAGGTATATTTCTGCAGGAAAACCATCCACTGCTCACCACTTTGGATTCGAGAACATTAAAAAATACACATTGAGGAGGAAGTCATACCCGTGAATGTACAAGTAGTATTAAATGTTGTACTATAAACTCAATGTAATGTATTATCACTATCTGCTGGGGTGATGGAACCATACATGAAGCATTGTTTCTTTCCAGAAGGCAGACTGCATTTATTCAAAATATTTATCTGCCCAAACACTAGCATAATCCCGGCGCTGATTTGGTATTTGGCTATTTAGCTTCCTACTGGAATGGTCATCAGTCCTTGAAGTGAAATAGAAATAACGAAGTAGTTGTATAGCTAGGGCTTCTTCATTTACACCATGTCCAAGAATGAATGCACGGCTGCCAGAACATCTGAGATCATTGGTTAAGGATTGCAAATGCAATTTGGCCACAACACTGCAACCCTGTGAGTTGCTTGTTGAAAATATTAATGTGTTTGTGAGATGAGATGGCCATTTGAGTTAGATAGCAATAATATGCCATTATATAGACACAGGTGATACACGTCCTATTAAATATCTGCAGTGACATCTTCTCTAGAGCACTAGGTATGTAGCCAACTCTGAGATACAACGAATGTTAAAGGATGGAATCATGAAACCATCAGAAAATGCTTGGTTATTTCTAGAACAGGGATGGTATGTAAGTTCTATGTTGTTTTTAGATGAGTGAGCACAGTCATCCAAATTGACATCTTTATGATGTCACGGAAATATCAATGTCTAGATGCATTGAAAAGTGCTCTTTTCTTAAGTACATTAGAGCTGGCTTCTAGATACTGGCAAATCGAGCTGGCCAATGAGATCAGAGCTAAGACCCTTTCATTTCTCCAGGTGTTTTTATGAACATCACATAATTCATTTCATTCAAGTAATACTACTACCAATTTTATGAAGTTTATTAAGCATACATCTAAAGAACTAAATTGGAGAGATTCTGATCTATGTAGACAGCATTTTGGAGTTAGATCACACACATCAGTCATCTTAGATAAGGATGCTGGGATTGAAATAAAAACCAGGGAAGTTTGCACTTAAGCAAATATATGTAAAAGTTTTGGTGACTTTTTGGGATGTAATGGTGTGCCTAGTGACTTAGCAAAGATCACAAATGTCAGAGACTGATCTCAGCTGTTAATAAAATTAGAGATATGTAGTTTTCTAGGCTTTGCATTGTATTACCTAAATTTTGTGACCAGTTTCTGCAAGATAGCTGAACCATTGTTTACACTCACTGAAGGTAAAATATATTTTAGGTTAACTGAAGGATGCTTTAGTTGAAGTTCTGGTGTCAGCATGCTTCAGGCAAGATAGTCTGTTAATCATGGCCATTGATGCTAGTGATTGTGGAATTTAAGTGGTGGTGTTACAGATGCAGAATGGAGTAAAACGTTTGATTGTATATGTTAGTCATATGTCAATAACTTTTGGCTGCAGATACTGCACAACAAAGAAAGTACTACTTACAGATGTAATATTCGTCAAGCATTACCAGCATTTCTTGTATGGTAGGAAATCAACAATTCATGAGGATCACGTGTAACTGTACAGGCAGGAAAATTAATGTTATTAGATGTAATGCATAAAGCACTGAGAATTGGCATGACTGGAAATTGTCATTAGAAGCTCTAATGCATTTGTAAGTTAAAAATATTTTGTGATCCTTTTCTTCTGAGCATCCAGGTAAACTTTAATGATGGTCCTTGATTGGATGTTTATACGAGAAAACAATTGCGAGTTTCAGAAACATTTATAAACAAATCCATTACATCAGGTACTAAGGGTCTTTACATTACTTCTAGTGAAGAGGTTGTGTTCTTATTTTTTATCAGCACAAAGGTGAACTGGGCTGTGATAAATCATAATGGAAAAGTTGTTATTTTACTGGATTTTGGCTGTGTTTGTTTTCCTGTGATGTCAAATGTAGTGGATGGCAGCGTAATAAAGTAACAGTTTAGCAACTAGTACTTGTAATTGTCTTGAACAATAAATATATTGTATTTAAACTGCATCAATCAAGTGTGTATTATTATATGATGTAGTGGCCAGCACGAATATTGATTCAGTTTGATTCAGTCTTATATCAGTTAAATGTTATCTGTAATTATATATTTTATGATACCTAAAAATGGTCAAGTTTATAATCTCACAGGTGGTCGTATAAGAGCAGGGAGCTCAGCTATTAAGAAAGCAAGAGCAATAGGGAAAGTTGCTGTATTACTATATGTGAGTCAATGAGAGGTCTGTTTAATGCTATAGGCCTATAGGATAATATACGATGTATGTTATATGTTTATGTTATTGTATATACCTATGATTGTTAATGTACACTGACATTACATATGCATTGACTCACGTACCAAGTATTACATGTATAAACAAAACAAACAAATAATACAATCATCAGGCACTAAAAGTAAACGAAGAATTGGTCAGAATGACAAGATGTCGGGATTTGAAGTGGAATTGTGTATACTAGCCTGTGTTGCATCATGAAAAAAACAATATTTTCTTATGTTCGGCTTTTAAAGCTGAAAATATTCGTAAATTTACATATGTTTACTGGTAAGATGCCCTACAGTGGCTCAGCAGTATGTCTGAAGGCTTATAATGCTAGAAACTAGGCTTCAATACTCGTAGTTGATACAGCCCTGATAGCCCATTGTAAAGCTTTGCACTTAACAACAAACAATCAAACACTGGTTAAGGAAAATAATTGGTTAGTTTACAGTATATTAAGGAAAAGCAAACCTAACTTGAAATGATTGAAATATTCATAAGCAAGTGAAAATTATTTATATAAAGTAAAACCTCTGACAATAGTTTATTTGTTCTGCTAACAACCAGC